GAACCCACTAACCGTGAGATCATGACCTGAGCTGAAATTAAGAGCCGGGTGCTTAACCAACTGAGCCACCCAGATGCCCCTAGACACTTTTGCAACTTGCTTCCTTCACAGGACAGTGCATCTTTCTGGAGCTCTTTCAACCCTGGGCCGTGAAGACCGCTTTGTCCTAGTTTGCCCTGGAGTTGCACGGCATCTCGTCGTGTGGACCCCGTAACTGAGCCTCTGCGGGTAGACACCCAGGCTCTTCACGTGTGGTGAATGTGGTGCCGTGATAAATGGCCTCCTGGAAGTGTTGTCGCACGTGGGGGCCGAGCGTGTGGGGGGCACACTCCGGGCAGCGGCGTCTAGAGTCACGTTCCTAGACAAATTGCCGGCTCACTCAGCCTCCCTGTCCCAGCAGGTCCTGGGTGGCCTTCGGCCTGAGCTGGTTCAGCCTGGGCCTGCGGGAGGGATCAGGTCTTCAGAGTGCCTGTGGCTTCTTTCGAAGTACTTTTCGCTTCTCGTGTGGTCTGGAGGAGGGCAGAGCGAGGCTGTGATGCATTCGCACTAACGCTGGGTTCTGAGTCTGCACCAAGGAATGAATGAGACAGACCGAGGGGGTTTTCCTCCAGAGGAGGCAGGAATAGGGGGATCCGAGGGCAAAGGGGAGAGCGAGGAGGCGCGATCCGGGCCGGGCCGCGGCAGCCTTTCGGAAGTGGTAGGTCCTTCTGGAGCAGAAGGACCGAGAATGTCTGGAACGTCTCAGGCCTGTATTTCAGAGAGCATGTGTCCCGCCCTTCTCTGAGCACCCAGGAATCTGCAGAATGAAACAAAGATTGTTTTAAGATACCAGAAGGGGCAGGGAGGTGAACAGATCAGGCACAGTGCAGGGGACGGAAATGGCCAAGAAACTTCTGAAAGAAGGTGCTCAACTTCACCAGTGACCGGGGACATTGCCGCGGATCGCGAGATGATAGCATTTTTCCTCTGCCGGACAAACCACAGGCCGATCTGACCCGGGCTGATGGTGATGGAGGGGAGGAGACCGCACGCGTGGTGGGGTGAGGTGGGCATTCCTGTCACTTCGGGGACACAACTCCCCGTGTGGGAGTTTATCCCATGGAGGTGCGAGTACCAGTTATAAAGACACAAAGACAGGAGTATTTATTGAGCCTTATTTGTCAAAGGAGAAAACTAGTGGCAGTCTGAATACTCATCAAGAAGGGAATGGGTGAGGGACGCCCGGGTGGCTCAGTCGGTTAAGCGTCCACCTCCAGCTCAGGTCATGATCTCGCAGTTCGTGAGTCCGAGCCCCGCGTCGGGCTCTGTGCTGACGGTTCGGAGCCTGGAGCCTGTTTCGGATTCTGTGTCTCCCTCTCTCTCTGCCCCTCCCCTGCTCAGGCTCTGTCTCTCAAAAATAAATAAATGTTAAGAAAAAAAAAATTTTTTTTTAAAAGAAGGGAATGGGTGAATTACGGTGTGCCTGTAGCGTGGGGCACCGTGTCATCACCGCAGACGGTAAGATGCAGTGTCTGCGTGCAGACTTGGAAAGATGACCATGAAAAGGTGACAGAAACGTGTCAGAGAAACGTGTATAGTATGATCTCGTTTTTCCTAAAAATCACACCCCCTCCCCTAAGTGTATGCATATACGTTGTATGTGAAAACACGGAGGGATATGCCTCAGGTTGTTCCAGCATATGTATTTATTAGACATTATATACTCTCCCTGAGATCGTATACAGCATGTATGTGTCGTTTGAACTGTTAAAACAGACCTCCAGGGCCCCTGGCTGGCTCAGTCAGTAGAGCATGTGACTCTCGACCTCGGGGTCTTGAGTTTGAGCCCCGCGTTGGCGGTGAGCCTGCTTACAGAAAAAAACCAAACGAGCAGAGGGTGCTGTCGTCATTCAAAAGACTGAAACAAAAAGGAAGCCCTGGAAGAGGGAAGTGAATTGTGAAATCAGAAAATCAGAAAAGAGATTGCAAGTTCGGGAAGGTCGGGGGCTGCTGCCCCCAGCGTCCTCAGAGGGAGACCCTGAGGCAGATCGCGGATCTCAAGTCCCACCTTCTTGACCACAACCCTACGGGGACCTCCAGGTTCGGGCCCTTTACCGATACAGCTAGAAACTGGGCTCGGTGAGAACACAAAATCCCCGCCGAGACGTGAGTGGGGGGAAGCCCACTTTCCTGTTGGGGGGCGCCCTGTGACCCAGGCTCCTCTGCTTCGCCTCTTGACCTGCTCTGTAGCCGGGCCTGCCCTCTGAGCCTCGGTTCCTCATCTGTCCAAAAGAGCTGCTGCACACACTGGCAGGGATTGCAGGAGCGAGGTATGAAGAACTTAGCCGTGGTCATCCGTGGCAGGTGGCGCTCCGGCTCTGACGGAGCCCCGTGTCGTAACTGCCGTCAGAGCTGGCACTTAGAATCCGCCTCACGGCTGACGGGGTCACCTTGGGCATTGTGGAGCCTCAGTTGGGAATTGCTGTTTTAGACACGTGCAGCAGACAAGATTATTTAAGGCACGATTTAAGTTGTAACGAAGAGACCCTGAAATACAGCACCTTAAATGAGAGCGACGCTTCCTTTTCTGTCATAGGACAGTCCGGGCATACGTACGATGGCAGGGCAGCCCCTCCCTTCCCAATACATGGCTTTCATTTCTGAGTCCAAGGTGCTTGCCCCCGCTCCTGCCGTCCCATCTGTGTTCCAGTGGAAGGAGGAGGAGGAGCGGGGCAGGGGGATGCACAGCCCGGAAATGGCACGCGTCACTTTCGCTGTCATCTCATTGACTAGAACCGAGCCCCAAGACCACAGTGGGGCCGAGAACCAGTCTGCAGCTGGCTGGCCGTGGGCTCGGCCCAAATCCGAGCATCCTGTTGCTAAAGCAGGAAAGGGGGACACTGGTAGACAGGAAGCAGGCTCTGTCACCAGAACGCCAGAGACCTGGGTGTTTTCTGTGTTCATCAAATGTATTGGTGTCCCTTGGGGCGCCTGGGTGGCCCAGTCGGTTAAGCATCCAACTCTTGTTTTCGGCTCAGGTCACGATTTCATGGTTCGTGAGTTCGAGCCCCGCGTTGGGTTCTGTGCTGACAGTGCAGAGCCTGCTTGGGATTCTCTCTCCCTCTCTCTCTGCCCCTCCCCACTTGCAGTCACTCTCTCTCTCAAAAATAAACTTTATAAATACATACATAAATTTCTTTAAAAAAAAACGTATTGTCCCAATTTGTACTAGGCTCTGTGAAGTCACAGAGGTAGACAAAACAGACCGTCCCTCTTTCATGGAGCTCAGAGTCTAGGTGGGAAGAAAGGCTTACACAGTCATCAAAGGAAGAGTCGAGGGTGCGATAAAATGCGTATTAACAGGTCTGTTTATTTAAGTTTCAAAGCATTTTATTAAAAACGTTTTTGTAGCACGTAGGGAAGCAAAATACAAACAGTAAAGCGTAAAGTGCCCTGTGAGGAAGGACATTTAGATCGACAGGCTGGTGAAGGCCTTTCCGAGGCAGAAAAGCCTTTCAGTGGAAAGCTATGGGGTACAGCCGTCGGCGTCCAGTGGGGTCTGTGTGTGATGCCTCTGGCTGGAGCGGCTCCCTGACCGCTCACACTTGGCTCTTTCCCTCCCCCTCCCCTTGCCCAGGGAGCCTGTCAGTCGTGTGGTGTTACTGGACCGAACCTGTGGGCCTGTCTCCAGGTAAAGTACCCTTGCCACTGTTGGGGGCCTGGAGGTTGGTCTAGACTCTGGGCTGGGAATGCCCGCCTCTGGCGGGTACTGCTGGGATCGTTGGGCGGGGACACGGGGCATCGATGTCTCAGGTGCACGGCCTGAGCCAAGAGGGCGCCAGAGTCAGCAAGTCCCCCTGCTGGCTGCCTGCCTGCCTGGGCAGCCATCAGGAATGTTGAGAGATAACAGCAGGTTGTGCAGGACTCCAGACCAAATGATCCCATCTGCACGAAAGGCAGAGGTCTGTATGTGCATGTGTATGTGAGACTTGATGGAGGCATCTTGGCTCTGAGCCCTGGCTCTTCTGCGTAGTGGCCTGTCCCTGGGCCAGCCTGGGCCTTGTCACCCCACCTGTAAAGGAGAGGTCACTGTCGCTGGGCAGCTGTCCCCACGTGGTGGGGCTGCGGTGGATTTGACAAGATGACCCCTGCGATGGGTTTAGCAAGGTGCACGGTCTGTGGACAGGATCCAGGAAAATCCAGTCGTGGTTCATTGTTACTGCTTCTTTTTTTTTTTTTTTTTTTCCAACGTTTATTTATTTTTGGGACAGAGAGAGACAGAGCATGAACGGGGGAGGGGCAGAGAGAGAGGGAGACACAGAATCGGAAACAGGCTCCAGGCTCTGAGCCATCAGCCCAGAGTCTGATGCGGGGCTCGAACTCACGGACCGCGAGATCGTGACCTGGCTGAAGTCGGACGCTTAACCGACTGCGCCACCCAGGCGCCCCTGTTACTGCTTCTTAAAGACAGATGTATCACAGCGTGGCCACTTTCTATGAGGAGCAGGATTTGGGACGGTTTTCATTTTTTTCTCTGGAATTCTTACAGCATTTTCCACAATTTTCTACAAGTATATATTTATTACATTTAAAATCACATTGAAAATGGCTACTACTTAAAATTTCTTTGAAAACAAATCCAAGTAGAAAAGAAGAAAAAAGGACACATGGGCCACCAGGGGACTCTTCCGGCCTCGGCCTTCAGGGCCCGTCACCCAGTTCTAAAGCAGATTGCAGAATACCGTCTGGGCCCTTGGGGGACAGCAAGAAACGTGTGGCATGGTCCTGTGTCCTGGGAGCACCCCCAGCAGGAAGGGATGTGTCCTTTGTGACCGGAAGGCCCTCACAAGGCCGTGCGGTGCTGATCTCTTGTGGAGAAGCAGGCTGATCGTTGGGCTGCAGGCCTGCGGTGGAGGCACTTGCTGGGCCTGGTGGGTGGCTAGATTTGGGACAGGGAAGTGCAAGGCCAAAGGCAAGGCCATCAGAGACCTGCAGGCCCCCTGTGGGTCCTGAGTGGGTCTCGATTACTGGCCCATAAGGAAGTAGGGGAGAGGGTCTGGGCGCCACACAGCTTGGCCCACGTCTTGCTGGGCCCCTACCTGGGCTTTTTTGTAGGAGGCCAGTAGCCCAGGGCACCCTGTCCACCTTCCTCAGCGGGCAGGGGCGGCTTTTAGGGCAGCAGTCCTTTCCAGCTGGAGCTTCAGGTACATAAACACGTGTTCCTGTGGGGTGGCAGGGCCTCAGGCCTGGTCTTGGCGGCGGAGATGGTCCAGCCCCCATCCTCTCTCCTTCCCTCTCTCCCCAGGTCTCCTGCTCCTATGTTGGCTGCGGAGAATCCTTCGCTGACCATAGCACCATTCACGCTCAGGTGAGCGCCGTGGCCGGGAGTGTGGGCCCTGCGGGCAGACGGCCCAGAATTCAAACCCCGGCTCCAGCCGCCTCCCAGCTCCAGCTGCCCGCTCTGGGCCTCGGTGGCTATGTCTATAAAATAGGAACAGGCCTAGCAGGGTTGCTACAGAGATACCAGAGCTAATGCAGGTGCACGCATATCACAAACACAGGTGATTGGTCAATGGCAGCCCGTGGCCTTCCTGGCTGGAGGGTGAGCATGTTCTCTGCTTCCAGGCCTTTTACTGAGGCCGCTGGATGCAGCCTCAGGGCACCTGTTAGGCCAGTGTGTCCTCAGCCTCACTTTGGATCTTGCCCTCTAGGCAAAAAAGCACAACCTGACAGTGAACCTGACCACGTTCCGGGTGTGGTGTTACGCCTGTGAGAAGGAAGTGTTCCTGAAGCAGAGGCTGGCAGCACCCCTGGCGGGCCCCTCGCCCAAATTCTCGGAGCAGGTAAGGGGGTGCAGGGGCGTCAGCGTGGTCGGTAGTGACGTGTTGGGGGCAGGGCCTTGTGACCCAAGCGTCGGGGGAGCGGGGATTGGTGGGTCCCAGATGGCATCTGTGCCTGGCCCGTGTTCTCAAGTGCCAGCGAACCCTTGCTGAGCCCCGGCTGTGTGCCAAGGCCCACACGGGGTGGGGGTTGAGGACACAAAAGTCCTCCGGGAAGGGAGTTCGTTCCCAGGCCGTGGGCGGGCCGCGCGCAAGGGCAGGGCTTGACCGAGCCTGGGCCTGGGGCCGGTGCAGATGCTTCCGGGCCTGTGGCGAGCCCCCGGCACCCCCCAACCCTAAGACAAACCCTGTCCCCCGGGGAATGCCGAACGGTGACCTGCGGTTCGCTTCTCTGTGGAAAACACCAGAAACCCCCCTAACGAGGCACTGAGCGGGGCACCGTGGGGCACCTAAAGGTGGTAGGCCGGGCAGACCCACGCACGGAGGGTCGCCTCGGGCTCCGGTCAGTACACAGGTCGCGGGGTTGGCCGGCGGAGTCGGAGCTCGGGGAGGCCTGAGCGTGTCTCTTCCGCATTTACATAGCGACCATCACGTAGTAGGTGCTCAGTAAATGTTTACGGAACACGTTTGCAAGCGTGGCAGCTGTTTATGGTTATTCACAAAAAAGGCTATATACAACAGTGTGCATACGGTATCTTGTTTTGGGGCGTGTGTATATGAACGGTGAAAAACTTACGCAACCGCGTACAGACTTGACAGTGTCGTCTAGATTGTAGGTTGTGATTCGTTGTTTCTATTTTTTTGCAAATTTATTATAACTACGTTTTTATCAGTGTCAGTAAAATACAAGATGCCAGAGCCATCTCTTTCCGGGGTGTCCTCGGCTCAGATGGGCCAATGCGGTGTGGGCTGGGGGCGGGGGCTGGGCGACTGGGCTTCCTTTCCCCCTGGGGAGCCTGTGGGCCTCTGCCCCCCACCCCGTCTTCCTCGCCTCCCCAGTTTCCTCACTCGGTCTCTCCCGCAGGACCCTCCGCTGCCTTCGCACCCTCTGAAAGCTGTCCCTATTGCCGTGGCCGACGAAGGAGAGTCCGAGTCAGAGGATGATGACCTGAAACCTCGAGGTAGCCGACCCCAGAGCTGGGGGAGCTGTCAGGCCGGGCCGGGGGCCTCCACGCAGGCTGGGGAGTTCTGTGGCGCATTGGGCCGTGTGGGCGGGCAAGGGCGGCTTGACCGACGGGCCATAGAGTGTGGTGGCTTCTTCCCTTGGGGTGCTGGCCATCCAGCCGTGTCCTCGTGGCCTGCGGGTCCTCATCCCCGGTCTCGACATGTGACCCCGGGCAGGCTGGCCCCTCCACACCCGGCCTCCTTGCCTGCGCGACGCGGACAGTGGGCCGGGCTGGGTGGAGGGCAGAGCGGTCCGTCTGAAATGCTCGGGCGCCCACAGCTACCGTGAGCAGGAGGCACAGTAACCTAACCTGGCAGCCTTCTGGGGCGGGATACCAGCCACCCACATCCTCCTGTGGTTGGGTCCTGGCGGCTCATCCGTGAGCGGTGGGACCCTCACCCTCCCTCCCTGCTGTGCATTGGCTCCCTAGGCCTCACGGGTATGAAGAACCTCGGCAACTCCTGCTACATGAACGCCGCCTTGCAGGCCCTGTCCAACTGGTAGGTTGTCACCTCGTCTGGGAGCCGGGAGGCCAGGACCTGTCCCCAGATGCCCCGGAAGTAGCGGCAGCAGCCCCCACGCTGTGCTGTGTATGTTGCCCACAGATGCATGTATTTAGACGTGTATCAGCCCCCCTTGGAGCACATGTGCCCTTTGACCCAGCAGCCCCCCTTCCGTCAGTTAGTCCCGGGAAGGCGACCTGAGACGTGGCGCATGGTGCCTGTACCATGTTCGTGTTCTGTCGTTTGTAGGGAACGATCTAAAGGCCCGAATTTAAAGGCCAGCTTTAGGGAACCCTGGGGGGCTCTGTCGGTTAAGCGTCTAACCCTTGGTTTCGGCTCAGGTCATGATCTCACGGTTTGTGAGTTCGAGCCCTGTGTCAGGCTCTGCGCTGACAGCTCAGAGCCTGCTTGGGATTCTCTCTCTCTCTCTCTCTCTCTCTCTCTCTCTGCCCCTCCCTTGCTCATGCTCTCTCTCCCGTTCTCAAAATAAATAAAAAACTTAAAACAAAATAAAGGCCAACTTTGCAGTAAGTGTAGGACAGTATTTTCCTGAGTGGGAAGCGGTCAGACTATGGCAAGGGGGAGGAAGGAAGTTATAAGTTTTGTGCGGTGCAATCCCATTGGGGGAAAAAATTAGTCATTTCTACCTCGGGTAGGCTGTTAAGTCCGTGAGGCCAGGGCATTTCCTGCGCCCGGTACACAGATGTCCCACCTGGTGGGGACTCAGTGCGCATATGTGTGAAGGAGGGAGGGGGTGTCTGCAGGAAAGTCTGGAACATTATGCACCTAAATGTTCGGGGTAGCTGTCTTCACGTGATAGGATTAAAGCCCTTTATTAGTGTTTGCTCATCCAGTCTTTCTACAATGAATACGTATTTCTTAAGTAATGAGATACGTTTTTAAAACATGAGGGAAAAGGAAGATGCCTTCAGGTTCGGGAAGGTTCCACAGAACGGGCTGGTGGGAGCAACAGGTTCTGGGTCCTCTCTTGTTGGTGCAGCGACAGCCGCGCCCTGACCCCAGGGGCCCTGAAGCGGGAAGCTCGGCAGCCCTGGGAGAGGGAAGGGGGCCGTTTCTGCGTCGGGGGTGTCCATAACAAAGCACGACAGTCAGGGGACTTTATTTTATTATTATTACTATTATTATTATTATTTTAATTTGTTTTTTATTTATTTTTGTGAGAGAGAGCGGGCTCACACAGGGGAGGGACAGACAGGAAGAGAGAGAGAATCCCAAGCAGGCTCCGAGCTGTCAGCACAGAGCCTGACATGGGGCTCAAACTCACAAACCCTGAGATCATGACCTGAGTCGAAACCAAGAGCCTGATGTTTCACGGACTGAGCCACCCAGGCGCCCCTGGCAGAATACTTTAAACAGCAGAGATGTATTCTCTGTCTGTTCTGGGGGCCAGAAGTCTGAGATCATGGTGCAGACAGGGGTGGCTGCTTCCGAGGCCTCTCTCCTTGCCTTCTAGATGGCCACCTTCTTCCTGTGTCATCTTCCCTCTGGGCATGTTTGTGTCCAAATCTCCTCCTTGTATGAGGACACCAGTCATATCGGACTTAGGCCCGCGCTGAGGACCTCATTTTAACCTAATTGCCTTGTTTCGGGGCCCTGTATCCAAATGCAGTCGTATTCTGAAGCGTTCAACTCGTAAATTTGGGGAGACACGATTCAGTCACGACAGGTGGGATCCTTCTAGTCATCCGCAGGCATTTCTGGCTCCGGGGGCTACAGGATGCCCCCCGCGTGAGCTTTTGCTTCTCTACCCAGCTCTTTCTAACCGATGCCACGCACCCCTCCTTTTCTGACCCGGCTCCCTCCCCTGCCCCTAGCCCTCCGCTCACCCAGTTCTTCTTGGAGTGTGGAGGCCTGGTGCGCACAGACAAGAAGCCAGCCCTGTGCAAAAGTTACCAGAAGCTGGTCTCTGAGGTCTGGCACAGGAAACGGTGAGTGACTGAGCCCCTGACCCTGGGCAGGTGCATGGGGCTGGGGACTTTCCTCTCAGCCCTTCGACTGGGTACCACCTCTGCCTTCGGCTGTTTGCTGTGCACCTGCCACGCCTCACCCGTGTGATTCTCATGGCAGTGCTGTTTTATAGACTGGGGAACCTGAGGTTCAGAGAGATTTCCGTGTCCTGCTCAAGGTCACTCAGCTTGTGAAGGGTGGAGCTGGCGTTCGAACCTGGTGTTGCCCTGAGCCAGCGACCACTTCTGAGACGTGTGTGCTGAGGCCGAGACGCTCACCATGACTCCTCCGAAGCCCCAGCCACCCCGTCCACGTGGGAGAGAGTCTCATAAGTGGTGGCTGGTGCCGACAGGGCAGGGGTTCAGCGCAGCGCGAAACAAATTTAAAGACCGGCAGTTTGGATTAGACCCGTTTCTCTGGGAAACTTGGGAATGATTTAAAAGGAGCACGTAGAAATATACGAAGTGTAAGAGCAGATTATAAAACAGCGCGATGTAGTATAATTCCGGTTCTGCCAGGAGCCAAGTTTGTTTCCTGGGTGTATCTATTTCCATGGAAAAATCTAGAAATCTCAACGGCAGTTATCTCTGGGTGGTGCTATTAGTGGTGATGTCTCCTTGTTGGGCTTCTCTAAAATTCTGGGTTTTTCAAAAATGGACATGGATTGCTTTTGAAATTAGAAAAACCACAGGAAGTATTTCAGAAAGAAACCAGTTTTCAGGTCGGCTTGTTCTGGACTAACGGGAAATGATGCCGTCCCAGTCAGGAGTTCTTTGCCCGGCTGAGCCATGACTTGACATTTTCTTCCCTGACTGTGGGGAGGTGCGAGCCCGCAGGGACTCCTGGCCAAGTCAGCCGTTCCCAGAGTTACAGCAGACACCTCACTGAGTCCCATCCAGACACCCCAGCTGCCTGCCCTACCGACCCTCGAGGGACCGGATAGCCCTGAACGGGCCGGGCCACCTGCGCTAATGGGTCTGGTCTTCCTACAGCCCAAGCTACGTGGTTCCCACCAGCCTGTCTCACGGGATCAAGTTGGTCAACCCGATGTTCCGAGGCTATGCCCAGCAGGTAGGCCATCTGAGCTGTGCCGGGGACACCCAGGGCCGTTACCAGGCCTGGCTCTGAAGCCCAGACCGGCATGGAAAACACCAGCAGCGGCTCGGCGTTACGGGGTGGGTCCTCTCGCTGCCTGAGCCCTTGGTGTGTGTGAGGACACTGGAGCCCTCCAGGGCCTGCGGATATTCTCCCCACTCGGCAGGTCAGGAGGCTGGAGGCTGGAGGCTGGGTCTCAGCTGGGTGAGTCACTGGCTCAGGTCACACAGCTGGTGCATGGCGGAGGGGAGATTTGACCTCAGGCAGGCTGACTGCAGACTCCGGGCGCTTCAGTCCTGCGTTCAGAACGTGCTTTTTCATTCTTCAGATCACAAGCGGCATTTCACTTCTACTAAGCATTTCGTTACAAGTTTTTGTATGTCTAGAGAACCCTTTGGAAATCAGTGATCCTTCCCGTGGCGTGACCTCGGGGGACCAAGATGCAGTTGAATGCAGCCACCTGTATGCCCCAGCCCCAAGCCGAGCTGATCGTTCACATGTCTGGGTCCCTGCCCCAGACTGCCCAGCGGCCCGGGGTTTCCCTGCTGGGCTTGCGGGGGGAGCTGGCCCTGTCTGGGTCACCATTCCTGTGGCCTGAATGAGGGGCCCAGGAACAGAGCCGCGGTCGGGCGGGGAATGCCTTCCGCCCTCTCCCTCGGCCCCCACCACCCTACCTGCCATCCCTTCCCTGGCTGAGGGCTGCTGGGCTTCCTCTGCTCACACCCTCTGTTGGAGGATCGCCAGGCTCCTGACCGAGAAGCCCAGCGCTGCCTGAACACCACCCTTTTTGGAAAGCGATAACATCCTCCACGATCACAGCTCACCATCTACCATTTATTAAGTTGTCACTCCCTGCCACGCAAGTACAGCCCTGTTTTTCCTGACAGAGCTCTCCTGAGTGAGCCCTGTCATCACCCCCAGGCTCTAGGTAGGAGCTGAGGCTCAGGTTCTACAGCTCGCTCAGGTCACACAGCACCTAGGGGCAGGGTGGGACTGAGGCCGAGCTGAGCCATTCCTCAGGCGCTCTGTGAAGAGAAGGGCTGCCTGGCTGCTGCCAGCACACCCCAGAAACACCCCTTCCTCTGCTTCTTAGACACGGCACATGGATCATTTCTCAGTCCGAAACATAGATGCAGGCGTGGGCCTCTGTTAACAGCCAGAGGATGCTGTCCTGCTTCCACACATGGCTTGAGAGTTTAGCAACCCAAGCACAGTACTTTTGTTACAAGGAGAAGCCAGAAAGGAAAAGAGATGGCGTGTCAGAGGCCCGTTTCTTAAAAGAACCTTTCCGTGCCCCTGATAACGGGACCCATGAATCCTCTCCACTCCCTAATGCGAGATAAGCTAGTGGTTACTTTCTTTGGTCTTCCAGTTTGACACTTTGCCCGAGGAAACCCTTCCAGAGTCCTCCCTTCCCTCTCCTGGAATGAGGCCCTGTCTCCGCATCTGTGACGTGAGGCTGAGGGGGCTTGGCTGGTTCTGGCTGCTGAGTGATCCAGCATCGTGTTGGTCAGGAGTTGGGCCGGGGGCACTGCTTCTGACACCAGGCACTGTGAGGGGCAGCGTGGCACCACGTGCCCCCGGCTGTTGGAGCCCAGCCTCCGCCACCACGTTCTGGCACCTTCTGTGCAGGCGCCACTCTCGGCGGGGCTCGGTGGGCGGGTGCTGGAAGCCTCGTTGCCCAGGCTTCCTGGTCGGTTTGGCGATCTAGTCAGAGGGCAGAATAAAAGTGCCGCTGCTGTGATTTGAGGCCCAAGAGGCCCGGAGAGACAGCTTAGATATATCGTCTCTGGGAAGGTGCGATCCTGCCTCCGGGGCCACGGCCACACTGGCGAGGCGAGGCGTGGGCATGGGAGCTGGCAGAAAGGCTGGGAGGGCAGAGGGAAACCAGAGGAAGGGTAGAGGATGCGGGCGGCCGGGCCTGCTGGCCGTCATCACCCCCACCCAAGTCGGCTGGGTCGTCACGTGCACACGCATCTTCTGTGTCACCTTCATCCTTCCTCAGTCTCCCTGCCCGCCCCAGGGGCCCCGCCTGCAGGCAGCAAGGTGACTTTCGGGGCCAAACGTGGCTCCTTCACCGTCCTACACTGAGGTAGAGGCCGGGCTACAGGTGCTTATGGGCACGAGCTGGGGAGTCCCACGGCCCCAGTGGGGACCTCAGCTCTGCCACTTGACAGCTGTGTGACTGGGGAGGGGTGGCTCGGCCTCTCTGGCCCTGGCGCTCCTGGTAGAGCGGGGGGTTGGGACGGAACCGTCACGGAGGCCCCCGTGAGGGCCGCTCGACGCGTCTGCACGGGGTACCCGGGACCCACGAGAGGGGCCTGCTGGTGTCCTCGGCCGCAGGGGCGGCAGGGGTGCCTCCGCCCCGGGGGGGACGGCCCTGTTGACGTGGCCGCTGCTTCCAGGACACCCAGGAGTTCCTGCGCTGCCTGATGGACCAGCTGCACGAGGAGCTCAAGGAGCCCGTGGTGGCGGCTGCAGCGGCACTGGCCGAGGCCCGGGACTCAGACTCGAGCGACACGGACGAGAAGCGCGAGGGCGACCGGAGCCCGTCCGAGGACGAGTTCCTGTCCTGTGACTCGAGCAGCGACCGGGGTGAGGGCGATGGGCAGGGCCGTGGCGGGGGCGGCTCGCAGGCCGAGGCGGAGCTGCTGACCCCCGACGAGGCGGGCCGCGCCATCTCCGAGAAGGAGCGCATGAAGGACCGCAAGTTCTCCTGGGGCCAGCAGCGCACCAGCTCGGAGCAAGTGGACGAGGACGCCGACGTGGACACGGCCATGGCCGCCCTCGACGACCAGCCCGCAGAGGCCCGGCCGCCGTCGCCGCGGTCCCCCAGCCCCTGCCGGACCCCAGGTGCCAGACAGCCGCTCGGGGCCCCCGGCCCGCTCTGCCCGGCACCTCCCGTGTGCCGGGCGCCGACGCGCACCGGCCCGCTGGCCTCTCCCACCCCCTGGGGTCCCACCACCAGAGCCTCGGGTCAGGGGTCGGCCACGTGGCAGGTGCGGACCCGCTCAGCCGGCCCCGCGCCTCGGCTGGAGACTGGAGCGAGGACAGGCATTCTGTGGGTTTGGTGG